AAAATATTAAAAATACAGTTACTGGGCCAGGGATTTAGCTCAGTGGTTCCGGCGCCTGCCTTGCAAGCTCAAGGTCCCGAGTTCGATCCCCGGTACCAAAACAAACAAAAATACAGTTACTATATGACCCAATAATTCCACTCCTAAGTACATACCTATGAAAACTGGAAACATATAGTTGCATATAAGCATCTACTGTACATACATTTTCATAGCAGCATTATTTACAGTAGCCTAGAAGTAGAAGGAACCCAAATGTCTATCAACTGGTAAACTGATAAATACAAAATGTGGATTATCCATACGATGAAATATTACTCAGCTATACAAAGAGATTTTAGTCAACTTTTTCTTACTGTAATGAAATACCTGAGGCTAGGTAATTTTATAATGAAAATAGATTTATTTAACTCACTTCTAAAGGCTGTACATCCAAATGGCATAGCATTAGCTCTGATGAAGTCTTTTTTTCTGATAGAGTCCTGAAGTGGTACAGAGTATCACATGGGAAGAGACAGAGAGTGTGCATGTGTATCTACATCTATATCCTCTCGTCTTGGTCTCTCTCCTCTCTCTCTCTCTCTCTCTTATATAGCCATCAGTATTCAATCACTGGGGGTCTGCCTTGATGACCTTACTTAATCCTAATCACCTCCAAAATGTCCTTACCTCTAAACACTATGGTTGAGCCGGATGTGGTACACGCCTATAACCCCAGCACTTGGGTGGTTAAGATAGGATCACCGCAAATTTGAGGCCAACCTGGGCTACATGGTGAGTTTAAGACTAGTGTGAACGACATAGCAAGACCTTGTCTCAAAAAGCAAAACAAAAACAATAAATATAATCACCATGGTTGAATTTAGTTTTCACTCTTACTATCTCATGATGGGGATTAAATTTCAATATACAAACCTTCAAGGAACACACTCAAACCATATCAACACCATGACAGCAGTAAAATGCTACAACATGAATAAACCTTAAAAACAAAAAAGCCAGGTATGTTGGTGCATACCTTAGTCCCAGCTACTCAGAAGGGTGAGGTAAAGATCACTTAAGTCTGTAAGTCCAAGGTAGCCTGGGCAATGTGGTGAGACTTGTCTCAAAAAAATCCAGGGCCGGGCATTTAGCTCAGTGGTTTCGCCGCCTGTTACGCAAGCGCAAGGACCTGAGTTCAATCCCCGGTACCAAAAAGAAAAAAATCCAATATATTGTATCATTCCATTTGAAATGCCTAGAGGTTTACCTATTTGAGATACATCAGACAGATATTAGATCAATGAGAGAGTGGTAGGAAGTTTCTTAGAATGATCTAAATTTTCTAAGCTTAGATTATGGTGATGTCATATAACTGTGAATATAGTAAAGCAACTGAATTGCACATTTTAATTGTGTAAATTTATGGCATTTATATCTCAATAAAGATGTTTAAAGGTATTTTATATAGAAGGAGAACATATATACCATAAAGGACCCATGTTTTTTGGCCCTTATTGCTTATCATAGTGCCCTAAACATAGAAAACATGGAAATGGATGCATGAAAAATAAAATATCCTAATTTGAATATAGTGTTCTCTGTCTTAGTGAAATACTAAGCTGATAGTGGTCAAATATAGAAATATTTCAGAAAGCACTTTGAAGGAGCAGAAGCACAGTAGAACTATATTTTTGTCAGAAAATGTGAAATACTTAAAGACAAAATAACTAAAAATGTACCTATAAAGTAACAGTGGAGAATTATGACAAAAAGAAGAGAGAAAAGTGTGTAGTTGGAGAATAATTCCTATCATATAAACCCCCTAACTTTTACTCAATAAGTGAATGCAGGTTTGGTATGAGAATCAATTCCTAGAGAGAAAAGGTAGACTTTCAGGAGAAATATAGAACCAATAGGTAAAATCCATTTATTCTTTCATTCAGAAGTAGCATTTTAGCTTGATTTAGACATGCAGTGTTAGAGAGAAGGCCATTTCAGTCAAAAGGAGCAACATGAGAAATAGAGCATTCAGTTTGGTGTTTGTAAAGGGAGTAATAGAATATAAAGTTAGGGTTATGTCCCAGCTCTACCGTGTACTGTCTTTAAAAAGTTACTTAACCTCTTCCTCAGCATTCTTTTAAAAGAATTGAGTTACCTTATCTCAGGGTTATTGGTAGAATTAGATAAGCTGATACATGTTAAGCACTTACCACACTGGTGCAGAGTAAATGCTCAATAGTGTTTCTTGTGTTTTGGCATAGAAAGGCTCAAATACCAGGCTAAGACATTTGAGCTTTCATTTTGTGGAAAGCACCAAATAAAGGTTCCAAATAGAGGAGTAGCATAATCAGACCAGTGAATAATCTGGAGACAGAGAAGGGAAGACCAGAGACCAGACAAAGCCTTTGTGGTAGTCCTGGAGAGATATTGAAAAATTTAACTGGAGTACTGATAATGTATAAGCCATGCATAAAACTAAAAATTACCGACAGTTTGGTGGTGTTAACACAAGTAGGAAACTGGAGAAGGAACAAGGTTGAAGGTAAAATTTGAGATAACAGTTGGTTTTCCAGGAAGAACTGTGCGGTAGGCAGTTGGAAATTCAATACTGGAGGTGAGGACTTGGGAGAATGTGGGAGTTACTACCCAGAGGTGGTAGCCAAGAGGTAGTATAGGATTACTGAAAAGGAGAAGATAGTTAAGAACAGAACCCTTACAGGTGGGAAAATAAAGATAAAGCAAATAATATGATTTGATTGCCTTTCATAAAACTTTGTTGTTGCTCTCTAGTATTATATATACCTTTTCTTCTTTCTTGCCAACTGATTATTTTACTATCTTCCTTAGTACCACTGCTAAATGAACCATCTGTAGTGCCCTTACGATATGTTTAAAGAGGGATATATTTGTTTTCACACAGCCTCTAAATCCTTTTGCTTTTCCTATAAGGCTATCACAATAGGATCTATTGAAAAGCAGCCCAGTTTTATTCCTGAAGAATGTATAGGGCATTATAAAAAGCTAAGGTTTGAGATGTTTTGTGGATGTTCACAGAAATTACAGAGATATACACAAACTTTAGGTACTACGAGGTAACTAATAACATGCCTGATTCTCATTGCAAGTTCAAAAGTTGATTTTTACCTTGAAATCTCTTGGTTATACAGAGAGAAAGAACAGAATAGTTAAAAGAATAACAATGGGGTTCTCATCCTGATGATATATGATATGAAATTGCCTATAGATTTCCCAGTTGTTTTGTTAGTTCTTTTAACCATTAGTGCTTATAGCAGCCAGACATAGAAGGTGATTTGAGGGCCAGGGATTTAGCTCAGTGGTTTTGCCACCTGCCTGCCTTGCAAGCCCAAGGTCCTGAGTTCAATCCCTGGTACCAAAAAAAAAATGTTGGGCGGGGGGACATAGAAGGTGATTTGAGGCTATCCTCCTAGGCTTCTCTGAAGAACTGAGGGAGTGTCTATTTATGCCTGACAGAGGGGAGTTCTTTTTCACAATGGGAAAATGATTTAAATTGGCTAATTCACTTTCTTTGTTTCTGACTGGTGTTTTAATTAACTTTTACAAGTGAATAATGGGCAATAGCCATAATCCAGTTGGCTGGCAAATGAACTGTACTGTGTTCTATTGCAATATAAAAAATGTGTATAAGCCTTTTATAATGGAAAGGTTTTGTGACACTTTAAAATTAACAAGGTGGCTTTATTCTCTGCATACACCACAAGGCTTTTTATGATCTTTTCATTCTGTTCTTGTGTTAGGGGATGTTGGAGATATATCTATGTCTATATCTATATATAGATATAGACATAGATATATAGATATAGATATATATGTAGTTTGTTTGTTTGTCTTCCTTTACTTGTATTTAAGAAACTTCCAAGTGAAGCTGTTTTCAAATATACTTTTAGAATTTTAACCAAGGTCAGCCTAGTCTTGTTGTATCTAGATACTGACCCTTAAAAACTTTCAAATACACTTCTCCCTGAACAATAGTTTGCTAACTTAGCCAGTTGTATAAATGAAAAGGTTGAAGCTTGGCAAATAAATATGTGTACTATTCTGTTTTTGTTTACTATAATGAAATATATGAAAATAGGTAACCTTATAAAGAAAAGACGCTTTTTTAGGTCACTGTTCTAGAGATTGAAAGACATGGCACTGGTATTAGCTTGGCTCTGATAAAGGTCTTATGAGGGTGGGATCATTATGAAAGGAGTATGTATGAGAGAAAAAGATCATGTTGCCAGACAGGAAGCCAAGAGTGTGACTCAGGAGTCAGGGTCCCTCTTTTATAACATTTTATTCTCATGAGAAATAACTGAGGGACCCATGAAAACTACTTTGATCCCTTCAGCTGACAGTACTGACAATGATGTAACAACCTTCCACTAGGCTACACCTCGTAAAGGTTCCATACCGTCTTTTAACATTGCCACACTAGGGACATAGCTTCTAACACTGAACCCTTGGAGCACAAGCTACATCTAAACCATAGAAGTTATATTTAGAACTTTAAATGATCCATAACACTTAGAGGTGTTTTGAGGGGAGAGTTGTTTGTTCTGTTTTGGTTTGGTTTTTTTTGGTACCGGCAATCGAACTCAGGTCCTTGCAATTGCGCAGCAGGCGGCGAACCCAGTGAGCTAAATCCCCAGCTAAAATACAGCCACTTTTTTTTTTGTACCAGGGATCGAACTCACAACCTTGTGCTTGTGAGGCAGGCACAGTGCCACTGAGCTAAATCCCCGGCCTGTTTTGTTTTGTTTTTGAGACAAGATCTCTCTATGTACTCCAGGCTGGCCTTGAACTCACTGTATAGCCCAGGCTGGCCTCAAACTTGTGGTGATTCTCCTGCATTAGCCTCCCGAGGGCTGGGATTACAGGTGTGTGCCACCATGCTCAGCTTGGCACCTAAAGACATTTTTAATGTGGAGAATTTGAGGAGGGGCTCCATAGGATAATATACTTGTGACAACTTACAGTTTAATTTCCTCTTGCAGTAAGTACAAACGGATCCTTGGTGAAGAACCTGTGGAAAAACGAAAAAGGCTCCAGAATGAGATGACTGCATCTCCTATAGATTATTCCATGCATGGCTCTTACAGGAGGGTAGAGGCAGTTGTTGCCTACCCAGAAAGGGAGAATAGCTATGATAAATCCAGTTCTGAGAGAAGTACACCGCCATATCTTTTCCCAGAATACCCAGAAGCAAGCAAGAATACAGGACACAATAGGGAAGTTTCAGTTCTATGTCCAGGGGCCCAAGACCAATGCCAGGGGTCCCTGCTTCCAGAAGAATTAGAAGATCAGATGCCAAGATTGGTAGCAGAAGAATCTAACAGAAGTAGCACATGCATAAACAAAGAAGATGTGAACAAGGGACCATTTGTAGCTGTTGTTGGTGTTGCAAAAGATGTTACAGATTCAGGAGCTCCCATTCAGCTAATCCCTTTTAACAGAGAGGAGCTTGCTGAGAGAAGAAAAGCAGTTGAATCCTGGAACCCAGTGCCTTATTCTTCTGTGGCCTCTGCCACAATTTCTGCAGTAGCCATTGGAGAGAAACGACGAGGCCGCAAGGAGACTAGAGGTCATAATACACCAAAGATGAATAACCAAAGCGAGCTCGAAGAATTGAAGAGAACTACAGAAAAATTGGAACGTGTTTTGGCTGAAAGGAATTTGTTCCAGCAAAAGGTTTGGGCAACACAGTATCACTAGGAATAAGAGATTTTTATAATCAAGGGACTTGGGGTGTTCGTGCTTTGGTGATTTCATGTTCTGAGGTCTTTAAACAGAATACAGGTATGTCTTTGAATTATTCTGTGGTATGTCTCAGACTGAGTGAACTCTTATGGGTTTCCTTTCCACATTTGATTGAAAAGGGATTTCCATAAGTAGAGGAGTACAAGTATGCATAATGGAATTACAGGATAAATAGAGTAAAGATAATTTTTAGCCCTTTCTTCACCTTTTAGTAGTATGTAGGGTCACTGAATTTCTATTTCTTGAACTGCAGGTGGAGGAACTAGAACAGGAGAAGAATCACTGGCATTCTGAATTCAAGAAGGTTCAACATGAATTGGTAACCTATAGTACTCAAGAGACAGAGGGCTTGTACTGGAGCAGGAAACACATGGGTTATCGCCAAGCTGAATTCCAGATTCTGAAAGCTGAGCTAGAAAGAACCAAAGAGGAAAAGCAAGAGTTAAAAGAGAAACTGAAGGAGACACAGACACACCTGGAAGTGCTACAGAAGACTCAGGTCTCCTACCGGACCCCAGAGGGAGATGACCTAGAAAGGTTAATTACTAGGGTTTAGTTATCAGCTTGTGAGTGCAAATGGGAAGCATCCCTTAAGACCCCCAGTTACTGGCCATAGAAAATAAGGAAGCCTTAATTCATAGGCCACCAAGATTGAGTAATTACTTAGAAAGATGCAGCCTGTTGCCCTGTACTTGGTGGCATTGTGCTTTCTTCTTTGTTTCTAGATAATGGAAACTTAATTTTTGAGAAATATAGGCCCATTTTAAAGGGGCTTCATTTTATTTTGTTAGCTAATGACTTCATGTCATCTCTTCTGCTCCCTCACTCCATCATACAGGGCTTTGGCAAAGCTTACCCGGCTACGTATCTACGTCAGCTATCTTCTGACTTCTGTCCTCCCTCACTTGGAACTTCGTGAGATCGGGTATGACTCAGAACAAGTGGATGGGATCCTGTACACAGTGCTGGAGGCAAATCACATACTGGATTGAGCGTACTATATAAATTCTTCTCTTTCACTTCTCTTTTCAGTCTATGTACTAATGTGCTTATTTCTACCCTTCTTTATTCTCTTTCCCCTCCCTTCTCCCTCTCTTCCTCTCCTCCTGTTGTCTCCTTTCCTCCTCCCTCTTCCTCTCTCTCTCTCTCCCCTTCTCCCCCCTACCCTTATACCTTACATAGAGAATCTGAGTAAATCTTGGCTCTTAATCATTCTGCTTCTTACTAAGTTTTGGTATGGAGAAAGAAGCCACTTAAATAGACTTTCAAGAGTCAAGGAACAGAAAACCAATAGTCACCAAACTAGGTGACCAGAAAGCTTTAATTTTTCAAGACCTAGATATTTGTCCTATTTCATATCCTTTCTGAAGTGGTTCATATCCATTTAGGTTTAATCAGTCAGCAAATATTGGGTCCAGTATAACTGGTATTTGGGAATGAGCTAAGAAATATAATTCAGAGTTTCAGCTTGCCAAGGATTTAATACTCTGGTTGGAAACACAAGACACACCAAATTAACTAACTATACACAGAAGTGAGTGATAGAAACAGGACAGTGAATCTAGAGAAGAAGTCCAAGGAAGGTATCACACTAGAAATGGGACCTAATCTAAGCTTTAAAGAATAAGCATGACCACACTATTAATAATGGTTGTTCCTTAGGTGGTAGAACTATGGTTGATATTTTTCTTTTTTTCTTCCTGCCTTTTTCAAATTTTCTATAATAAACTTGTTATTCAACTTAGATTTGAAAAATAAATTGTTTTTAAAAAGGACAAGTAGGCTTGGATTTGGGTATCAGATGACACTTGTGAAATTATAAAATAATATTCTCTTTATAATTTATGTTAAACTTAGTATTACCTTTAGAAGAACAACATAAGCAAAGGCATGGAAAAACCTAGAATGTGAAAAATGTGTTTGGTAGGAATGGTGGGTTAATGTGAAGGGAAATAATGTTAAATCATAACCCACCTACCTACCTTCTGTGGGATTTGCATTTTAATAAGAGATTCTTGAAAACAAACCTTCAAGGCTCAAAATTTTTAAATATGTATCACCAGACTGTGGAATTACAGTGGGGCAATATTTTAGAGTAGAGAGATCTATCTGCTGTCCCTCAGAATGTGCCTACTTACTCCAGGCTATCCTGAGTGAGGGATAGATTTTATAGTATTAGAAATAGTCAAACTCATACTCTCATAAAAGGAGACATTTTATTAATTCATTGCTTTATTGTATTTATAGAGCAATACTCTCCAAAGAGTTCAAGGTACTCCTCAAAGGACACTAAACAATGAACACATAAAAATATATCAACAGTGAAATATAAGTTACAGGATAGAAATAATAAAAGGAAGGTGGGACTCAAGCTGTGGCAAAAAGATTAGTCCAGAGAAAATGCTTTGGATACTCATTGTGTTTCTCCTCTGCAGAGTTTTTTGAGTAGACTTTCCCAAACATCTTTTACCTTCTTTTAAAGGAAATCTCATCTATGATGAGACTACAAAGAATAAGGAGAGACTAGAGCCAAGCTTTACCCTTCGAATGACTTAAAGATATCCCCAGCCCCTACCAATCTACGATGCCTCAACTCCAGCTTGCCACATGATTAACTTTCATGTTAGACATTTGGATCATGATAGTCAAAGGTCTCAGTTGTCTAAATTGTAAATATTACTGAGGGAAGGGTAGCACATCCAGCCATTTTCTCAGTGATTGTTCATCAGATAGGGGCTAGGAGGGTGTGGGATTTTGCACAGATAGTGTGGTAGAGAAAAAAATTCAGAGCATCGAAGGTTCAGCCTGTAGAATGAGCTTTAAAAAGAAAAATAAGCAAAAATGTAATTCATCTTTACTAGTGCTTATTGTTAGCCCACTCCCTGCTCATGTTCTATCAACCCATGGTCTTGACCCCACATTGCTTTTTCCGGCAACAGTTAGCTATGTGAGTCTGTTTACTTCAATACCAGAGCTACTGGATTGTTACCTGTTTACTCTGAAACTATACCAGCATGAGGTAGTAAATACCACTGTGGAGAGATTCATAAGTGTCCCCCAGCCTTACCAGAGTTCATGATCTGGTATGGAGGCAAAGATACTGGGAAGAAAGAAGTAAGTGCCTTCTCCTGGCTTTTCCATTAAGTTAGCATGATTGTAATTCTCCTTTCAGATGTTCCTCACATTTGCCTTTTAACTTTGTTTCCTTGGTCAAAACGTAGACCCTTATTACCTCATGCCTTGTTAATTGAAATAGACTTAAATGGCCTACTTTGTATCCTATTCTCACTCCTCAATTTTCCCTGCTCAGTATCGCTAAATGGCTTTTACCAGCTTTTTCAAGTCATGCCTCAGCTCAAAGATTTGCTAGTGCTCTTAGTTATCCACCAAATGCAATACAAATTCCTTAGCAATGGTTCTTAAAGCCCTTCAAGATCTGGCTTCAGGTACCTCTCTTCCAACATTCCAACATTCCAAACACACTATATTCCATCTAATGTGAACTCTTTCAGTTTCTGAACATGTCTTAAGATTTTCTCCTCCATAGTTGCTAGTCCTTTCCCTTTGTTCTCCCTTGTCATTTTTTCTTTGGATCAAATGTCAGGTTTTGTTTTGTTTTGTTTTGTTTGCAAATTACTCTCATTAACCCACCTAGGCATGACATTTCTCTTTGAATATTTAAGTTTTATATCATTTATAATGTCTTGTATCAAACTTTCTTGTCCTGTCTTCCCCATTCGAAAGTTCCAGATTCAGATATTCAACTACCCACTTGAGATTTATACTTACACATCTCACAAAAACTTCAAATAAAACATGTTAAAAATAAACGGTAACATGCCCTAGGACTCTTCCTCTCATATAATTTTCCTCATCTGAGAAAATGGCACCTCCTCCCACCAACTTGCTTCAGCTGGAAACCTGGGAATCATACTTAATTTTCTTCTTTTTTTTCATCTCCCTTATCCACTCTGTCAACAAATCTGTTAGTTGCATTTTCAAAGTACAATATATCTTGAATCTATTCATTTTTACCAGAGTTGCTTTAGTCCAAATTGCTACGATCTCCCATGGATTATAACTACTTCTAACTGAAGACTTTGTGTCCACTCCTGTTCCCACAATAGCATTATCACTAGAGACATTGTGATTTTTTTGAAAAGTACAAATCAGATCTTGTGATTCTCCTGTTTAAAGCCATTAAATAATTTCTTATTGAACTTAGAATAAAATCCCAACCCTGCAATGACCTACAAGACTGTCTACTTACACTTTGTCTCATGAGTCCTTTCATCATAGACTTTTCCCCCGGCTCAGTGAAATGTCTCAAGCTCTTACCTCAGATCCTTTACCCATACTCTTCTTTCTCCTGGGACATACTTTATCCATACTGCTCCTTCTCTTGGAATGCTTCTATTTCTAGCTTTGGCATGGCTAGTTGTTCCTCATCCTTTGGGTGTTGGCATATCACTTCCTCAGACAGACCTTCCCTTTTTATTCTATCCTATTCTCTCAGGGTTTCCTGTTTTGTTTTATTTTTTTCAATTCACTGCACATCTCACAATTTATGTACAGTATTTGGTCACATACCTTTGATTCATTCAACAAATGCTTATTGGTTACCTACTCTGTGTAGTGTGATATCCAGAAGCAAACACAACACACAGTTCCTGACTGCCTTCCTCAATAATAAGTTCCATGAGGGGAAGGTCCATGCCTGCTTTTGCCAATCCTGTATCCTATCACTTATCATAGTACCCAGGACATAGTAATCAATTAATGATTGTCAATGAATGAGTTAATGATCAGAACAGTTTCATTTATATTTACATCTCCCTCAAGGATCTAAAACAGTGCTCCATTCATACAAATGGTTGGATAAATGCAATATGAATGAAACACATAATCCTGGATATTAAACTCTGAAAAATGAAATACTGAGATGGTAAGTGCTACAGGTTATGGGGGCCTGGGGCAGCCCTTGTGAGTGGCCTAGTGTTTCTCTTTAGCTAATCTTTGGTGTGAATAATTTGAAGGGCTGCCAGGAAGAAAAGGAATATGGGTGTTTACCCCAAACATTCTGAATATTATCAAAAGGAGGCTCCCTAGCATGCAAGTTTTAAGTACTGAGAACTATAGAACATAACCTGGAGAAGGTTGTAGAGACCAGGCTTTGAGAGAACTAGAAAGAGAAAAACAATTCTGAGAAGGCTTCTGTTCACTTTGTTTGAGAGTGGTGATATTTTATTTCAAGTGCAGAAAGAAGAGCTATCTGCAAGCAAAGAACAGACAGACAGAACAAGTCTCAAGTAAAGTTCCAGGCAAATGTTAGGAGGTCAGCACATACTTGTTGGATGAACAAATGAGCAACTAGAAAAGGACTAGACTGGGGCCGGGGATTTAGCTCAGTGGTTTCGCCGCCTGCTGCCCAAGCGCAAGGAGCCAAGTTCGATCCCCGGTACCAAAAAAAAGCACTAGACCAGAAACCTCATGACACCAGGGAACAGGACCATGCTCACTCATGGTCAGTGTTTGTAAATTATCTAAGCTAACAACTTAGAGACAGGGGCTTAATTGGCAGCTTCTTAGTTCCCAGTGTCACCAGAGTGTGTCTGAGAAGCTCCCTGAAGCTGAAATAAGGAACCTAACCCACCCTTTTGTAGAGTAAGTTTGAAGGTTCTCTGACTCCCAGGGCAGAAAAAGAATTTTCAGGATGTGTCAGTAAGAGGCACAGGAAGGTTTTATTAAGCAGAGATTTTCACACACACTCAAGAGTGGAGTATGGGCACTCAGAGAAATGAGACACACTAAAGTTTGGAACTGGAAATATTTATGTGGTTTTGGTGGTGGAAATCTGCAGAATTTGCTAGGCGTGGTGGCGCACACCTGTAATCCCAGTACACAGGAGGCTGAGGCTGGAGGATT